GAAACGTGGGCCAGGCGTCCCCAATAGCTCTAGGCTCAGTGGAAAATTGATACCCGTTTTTACGTAGTTCTGAAGTCTCTATTAAATTAATGTTGTTGTGTGCCGTGGAGTCGGTTCCGACTCATAGCGACCCTGTACAGGGTTTCCGAGGTTGTAAATTTTTAAGGAAGCAGAAAGCCTCATCTTTCTCCTGCGGAACAGCTGGCAGTTTCGAACTGCTGATCGTGAGATTAGCAGCCCTATTCATAACCACTACACTACCAGAGCGCCTTTATTAAATGAATAGGCAAGAATATTTTATGTAAATGGAATTTCCATTGATAATTTAATAAAAAAGATGAAATTTTATTAATCTTATCTGAAAATCAGAATTTAAGGATGGGGGTCTTGGTGTGTGGCTCTGTGGGAGAAAGTACTGGACCACAATGTCAATTTGAATCATAAGGTCGGAGGTTCAAACTCACCAGTTGCTCCTTGGAAACCCTATGCAGGGTCGCTATGAGTTGGCAACGACTTGACCACACTTAACAGACAACAACATTCAAAAGGAACAAGCCCTTTATCACATACAAGTCCTTACCATGCCCCTACAGGCGCCCTTCCCCTGCTTCCTTTGCTCAAAGTTATTTCTCAGATACCTAAAAGCTTGTGGGCCACAACTTTTACACACATTGGTTGTGTTCTACTAAACCTATTAGAATTAAAGTTTAAGGCGCTGTAGAATAAGGCACTAGACCCCAAGGTCAGTTTGAGCTGCAAGGTCAGCGGTTCACACCCACCAGCTGCTCCTGGAAACCCTACACAGGCTCACTATGAGTTAGAACCGACTCCACGGCACTTAACAACAACAACAACAACAAGAAATATCCACCTAAATGAGACACAAAGGAAGGAATGAATAGCTCCTATTCAGGATTTTCTTCCTAAAGGGCTGGTTCCTATCAGGAAGACAACTGGACTTAGGTGCAATTGGTTGGTGGTTATGTACTGTGGAGTCGTGTCCGACTCATGGCGGCCCTGTATAGGTCTCTGAGGCTGTAAACCTTTCTTTCTTTCTTTTTTTAAATTTTAAGATTTTTGAGTTTTGTTCCACATTTTTCTCCCACTCTGCCCAGTATCTTCTAATGTGAGCCTTTTCAGAGCTATCGCTCTTGGTAACTTGGCGCCATCTAGCTGTTAGGATCTTAAATTCACCGAGATTGATGTTTGGGCAGTATACTGGACTAATCGCTTTTTAATTTTCATCCCTCTTCTCGCCTCTGGACAGGGATCCACCAAAATTTGCACCTTAGATGTCTACTCATGATTTTTTT